CGAACCTTGCTGGCAGACTGGACAACAAAGGTCTTGGTAGGCAGCTTTTTCCAAAAAAGGCCGGATTCGTCCATGTTGAGCACCTGGTCGTCAGTGAACTGCCCTTCCTCCATAACCTCACGTAAGAACGGAGGAAAATCTCTAGCCGCCACACGGTCAGCACTCGCTTCTTCACCACCAATGTTGATGTTGGTGATATTGTTTCTCTTCTTAAACCTATGCAGCCAACCAGAGGAAGCATGAAGGGTTTGGGCTCTGCAGTTCCCATCTTACGTGACACTGCTGCGTACAGTTCACGTGCGTACTCTTGAACGGATCGCGTGTCCACCGCCATGTTGCGTCGCGCCTGACGAATCAAGTAACTCACGAGCAAATTTTCCACCTTAGCAGCACCTTGTTCTGGCAATACTTGATCATTGAGGCACCTGCAGACTTTGTGATTGTCATGTGCTCTTTGATCTTGGCTGCATCCTTCTTAATAGTACGAATCGTAGATTCGTTCACTCCATGCTGGCGCGCGAGATCAGCTTGACGTGTTCCTTTCTCCAAATCTTGAATTATCTGGTATTTCACTTCGTAGCTTAGGGAACGGCGTATCTTCTTTGGCTTAGGGCGGCTGGGTCCAGGTAAGGAAAGGTTTCTCTCTGGTGGCAGTGGTCCGGCGGAAGCCATTTCACAGAACAATGGATGCACGTATACACTGTGTGGCCTGGAGGGATGAAACTGCCACGGTTAGGTCAAGCGTCGTCTTTCCTCCCTCCCTCCCGCGGGTGGACACGTCATATTTAAACCAATTACAGCTAGCAGCGGAGGGAGGTAGGGATGCATGGCCAATCACAGTCCGATACGTCATATGACGTCACTGATAACGCAACAGAGACATGCACTGCGCAACCTTACCGCGCGGCTTGCCCAGGCGGAGGCGGAGGAGGGAGCAGGCGGGTGGGGCGAATCTAAAAATAGCGTCGGCTAGACACTCTGCCCTATATGGGTAGATGAACCGCGGAAAGTGAAAGTTCGGTTCTGGCGAGGCACCGAGCAAATGAGAAAACGCGGAAAGTGAAACAGCGTAAAGCGGGGTAATTCTGTACAGTATGTATGTTGTGTTGTCAATAGTAAGAGAAACAATTGAGACCCTGCAATTGTGTGTAAATGAGGCAGAAAGTCAGATCAGCAACCTGGGACTTGGTCACAATTTTTGTGATGCCATATGGCAGCAGGGTCTACCATTAGACAACACATTATGCTTCCAATATCTTCCCAAGCGGTAGCACCTCCCTGTTTGGGAGGTACTACCTACTACCTATGACTTGGGGATAATTTAATCATTCTAGTGTACCTTAAGTAGGGCTAGATTATTACTATTATTATTATTATTATTATTATTATTATTATTATTATTATTATTATTATTATTATTATTATTATTATTATTAGTAGTAGTAGTAGTAGTAGTAGTAGTAGCAGTAGTAGTAGTAGTAGTAGTAGTAGTAGTAGTAGTAGTAGTAGTAGTAGTGGTGGTAGTATATAAATTAGTACATATATGATCAACCTAGGCCTTCTTCCACTACCATAACATAACCTAATTTAACATAGTGCTCAGGTAAAGCTCACGTATCTCAGGTTAGTTCTGATGGTATATAAAATTGCTGTGGTGCAGATAACCCTAAAATATACATACATACATACATACATGCATACATACATACATACATACATACATACATACATACATACATACATACATACATACATACATACATACATACATACTGAAAAAAAATCTCTTCATATATTTGGTTTTATGTTACAAATTTGTTACAGGTGTAATTAATGACGAACGGCAGGTAATTTCTATCTTATTTCCTTGTTGTAGGGAAGTGCATCATGTTTACCGCACACACACCTCCAGAGACCTTAGCACACCTCACACATCTCAGGTAAGCTCATCTCACTCTTATTTTATTCATTTATCTTCGTTGTTTTGAGTTAGTTCTGGTCTTGTCTCCACTACTCCCCTTGTTGCTGCTCCTTGTTATCTCTTAAATGTGTTAGGTTAGGTTAGGTTAGGTTAGGCTAGGTTAGGCTAGGCTAGGTTAGGTTAGGTTAGGCTAGGCTAGGTTAGGTTAGGCTAGTTGGTTAGGTTAGGCGAACAGGTAGTTAATGTGAGGTTAGGTAGGTTAGGTTAGGTTAGGTTAGGTTAGGTTCCGTTCCGTTCCTCATCACATACCATGACAGAGTATAGTAATCACAGGTTAGGTTTAATATTCCTCCCTTTGCCTTCGTTGTTGTCAGGAGCAGATCTTGACTACTTGATCACCTTTAGTGGGTTGTGTTAAGCTCATGTCGAGGAGTTGTTTCTCTTATCACATTAAACCACGATAGATTCACAGTCTCGTCTTGTTTAATTGGTCATTATTTTTTTGTTGTCATTTTTTTTCAATTAGTATAATATATCCTAAATGGTGTGTGTGTGTGTGTGTGTGTGTGTGTGTGTGTGTGTGTGTGTGTGTGTGTGTGTGTGTCGGTACCGATATACGTAAATATATAATTCACCTGTCAACACGATATCTGCCCCGCGTCGCAACTAATCCAATAATTTATCTGGTTCCTCCTCATCTGTATCCACACACACACACACACACACACACACACACACACACACACACACACACACACACACACACACACACACACACCATAACCACTCGATTTATTTCCAAGGCTTCTGGTGTTTGTGTATCAACATTTTCAAATCTTGGTTGTCATCTGTAGCCATCCATAAGCTGGTATAAGAAGGTTGCCAAACATGGAGGTGGGGGGTGGTGAGGGGTAGGTGGGGGGTGGTGAGGGGTGGTGAGGGTAGGTGGGGGTGGTGAGGGGGTGGGTGGGGGTGGGGTGGGTGGGGTGAGGGGGTAGGTGGGGGGTGTTTGTTGATGTTAGTGAATGACAACACAAGCATTATTTGTAAGTGGGTTTGGTGCTGATATAAATACTCATCTCTTCTGTCTGAGTCGTCGAGAGGAGAGGTTAATCTCTCTCTCTCTCTCTCTCTCTCTCTCTCTCTCTCTCTCTCTCTCTCTCTCTCTCTCTCGTTTTGCTGATTTCTCATTTTTCTGTTTAGTATTGTTGATCCCACACCACCACCACCATCACCACTACAACCACCACCTATTTCACAAGAATCCATTACGTTTTTAACCTTAATCTACCTCTTAGCCTTAAAACCCTATGTGTGTGTGTGTGTGTGTGTGTGTGTGTGTGTACTAAACCATCCATAAAATTCCAATCACACTAAAGATTCTATAAGATTACACAAAAACAACGCTATTATACATCCAATTGCTTATAGTTTTACTTGTATTAAATGGTAGTTCAGTAGTTTATAATAATGCTTGTTTGAAAAGTTATGTATCGCCCTCCTTCAGTAGTTTGAGGCAATAATGGATAATAATGTCTTTGTAAACACTTTGTAAAACTTTGTAACCTTTGTAAAAACTTTGTAAAAAACTTTGTAAATTTTGTAAAACTCTGTAAAAATATATTTTTATTATTATGAGGTGGGTCTTGATGAAACGTGTATGTTTGTTTACCTGTTTTAATTGGTTGTGTGGTTCCTTTTCATCTCATCCCCACCTCTCTCCACCTCCTCACCCCTTCACCCCCCTTCTCACCTCTCCTCACACCTCCTCCCCCTTCCACCTCTTCCTACCCCTTCCTCACCTCTCTCCCACCTCCTCCCCACCCCTTCCCCTCTTCCTTCACCCCTTCCTCACCTCTCCTCACACCTCCCTCACCCCTTCACCCCCCTTCCTCCCTCTCCTACCCTCCTCCCCCTCCCACCCTTCCTTCACCCCTTCCCTCCCACCCTCTCCTCCACCTCCCTCCCCCTCCCACCCCTTCCTTCACCCTTCTCCCACCTCTCCTCCCACCTCCCTCACCCCTCCCACCTTCCTTCACCCCTTCCTCCACCCTCTCCTCCCTTCACCTCTTCCTCCTCCTAGATTCCCAATAAGTCTTCATTAAACATGACCTACAAGTCCCTTATTTGAAGCATCCGGTAAGTGTTTCTTTACCAGCATCTCCGAGACACTAATGGAGGGAGTCATAGCGAACATTTCTTATTGGTGTTTCTTATAAGGGGCTGTCAGAGAGTCTTCCTGGATGTCGATTTTAGTCCCAACTTGAGTCGAGTAACTTCCCTATCGAACTTAATTAACCTCTCTCTCTCTCTCTCTCTCTCTCTCTCTCTCTCTCTCTCTCAAATGAAGTTCTCATGACACTGATACTCAAATTGTCTGTTCGATTTAAATCAAACTTAGTATATGTACGGATGTGTTCCTTATAAAAAGAAAGTTAGTTGAGTGACATCCTAGAGAGAGAGAGAGAGAGAGAGAGATGTGTATCAACAGGTGTGGTTCTGGGTACAGCTGGTAGGTGGGGGGGTTGTATCGGTCGGTCTGCTGCCTGTTGATTTAAGGGCAGTTTCCCGTCTGGATTTATTTCCTGTGTAAACTTGGCCAGGAAAGATAGGACGAGAGGATGAGAAGGGGGAGGGAGAGACGACAGGAGGGGGAAGGGGGAAAAGTTAGAGGGTTCAGGGGAGGGAAAAAATGAAACAAGGATGAGAGGGGGATAGGGAGAGGAGAAAGAAGAGGAGGGATGGGAAAAAGAAAGAAAATGCGAAACAGAAGTGAAGGGGAGAAATGGCAGAGTCAGATGAGAACGAAGGAAGAAGAAATGAACGAATGAAACACAAATAGACACAGGAATGGAAAAATTATGATAAGTTGGGGGTTATGATGGGTCAAGACGTCTCAGGTCAATGTCATAAGAGGTCATAGCAGATCCAAGGAAGTCAATGGAGCTCCTGTAGGAATCGAAGGACAGGTTGAGTTAAGGCTGGTCATAGGATCGTGAAATGATATCCTCTGTCAATTAAAGCAGGTCACGGCAGAGAAGAAGGAGGGACTCAGATAAATCAAAGGTACTTTACTCACCTATTCTCTGGAGGAAGGGGCGTATTGCTGTAACGACGGGGTCAGAGGGTCGCGCCCTAGAAGTGCCAGGTGGAGGTTCTCGGCATCCATGGGGCGTCCTGCGTCTCCGTAGAGCCCTCCAAGGCAGACACGGCGTCCCGGTTGGTGGCGTCGTATCGTAGACTCTCCTCCAACAGCGCCACTGCCTCCGCTACACGATCCTGCTGCCTGGTGGAGTACACGACGAGCGAGAACATTATCCTACAAGGTTCTCCTGTCTACTAACCCAACAAGATTCTAACTGTCTACCTGTCTATGATATTTTCCTGTCTGTTGGAGTAAAAAAAAAAAAAAATAAGAAGAATAAAAGGAAGGAATCTCGTACAGTAAACACCAGAGTTCTCAAATACCACCTCCACCCAGGAACAGAAGAGGTATATATTAACCACTAACTTTTTTACAATAAGGTTTTTCTTTCGTCTGCTTCTTCAACACTCTTTATCTCTGTGTTCAGTGGGGGATGAGGTGAGGAAGGGAGGGAGGTGAGGAGAGGGAGGGGGAGGTGAAGAGGTGGGGGGTGAGGGAAGGGTGGGGGGAGGAAGATGAGAGACTCTCCTTTTAATAGATGGAACAGAGTGTGAAGGGTGACAGAGTTCAAAGTAATAGAACTGGGGCCTATCAGATCAGGGGGCCTAACAGGACTGGGGCCTATCAGATGTGGTACCTAATATGATTGGGTGGGTGTGGGGTGCATGGGGAGGTGGGTGAGGGGTGTAGGGAAAAAGTGGGGGTGGGCAGTACTTACTGTCTGAGGTTAACAGGTTGTAGTAGGCGTGGGCCTGTGGGTGGGCTGGCCAGCCTGAAGTGAGTCTCCGCTTCAGTAGTGTCGTTGACCAGCGTCCCCAGGTTATTGTGGGCGCTGGGGTGTCCTGGCACAACCTGTTGGGGTGGAAGGAGGCGCACTGTTGGGTGAGAGGAGGTCAGCATCTGTTGGGGTGAGGGAGGAGGTCAGCATCTGTTGGGGTGAGAAGGGAGGGTCAGCATCTGTTGGGGTGAGAGGAGGTCAGCATCTGTTGGGGTGAGAGGGAGGTCAGCATCTGTTGGGGTGAGAGAGGAGGTCAGCATCTGTTGGGGTGAGAGGGAGGGTCAGCATCTGTTGGGGGTGAGAGGGGAGGGTCAGCACATCTGTTGGGGTGAGGGAGGGTCAGCATGTTGGGGTGAGGTCAGCATCTGTTGGGTGAGGGGAGGTCGCATCTGTTGGGGTGAAGGAGGGGTCAGCATCTGTTGGGGTGAGGAGAGGGGTCAGCATCTGTGGGGGGAGGGCAGCATCTGTTGGAAGAGGAGGTCAGCATCTGTTGGGTGGAGGGAGGAGTCCAGCATCTGTGGGGTGAGAGGGTCAGCATCTGTTGGGGTGAGAGAGGAGGTCAGCATCTGTTGGGGTGAGAGGGGAGGGTCAGCATCTGTTGGGTGAGAGGAGGTCAGCATCTGTGGGTGGGGGAGTCAGCACTGTTGGGGTGAGAGGTCAGCATCTGTTGGGTGGGGAGGCCTTGAGAGGGGGAGGTCAGCATCTGTTGGGGTGAGGAGAGGTCAGCATCTGTTGGGTGAGAGGGAGGTCACATCTGTTGGGGTGAGAGGGAGGTCAGCATCTGTTGGGGTGAGAAGGGAGGTCAGCATCTGTTTGGGAAGGAGGGTCAACATCTGTTGGGGTGAGAGGGGAGGTCAGCATCTGTTGGGGTGAGAGAGGGAGGTCAGCATCTGTTGGGGTGAGAGGTCAGCATCTGTTGGGGTGAGAGGTCAGCATCTGTTGGGGTGAGGAGCCTCTGTTGGGGTGGAGGAGGGTCAGCATCTGTTGGGGTGAGGGTCAGCATCTGTTGGGGTGAGAGAGGAGGGTCAGCATCTGTTGGGGTGAGAGGGAGGGTCAGCATCTGTTGGGGTGAGAGGAGGTCAGCATCTGTTGGGGTGAGAGGGAGGTCAGCATCTGTTGGGGTGAGAGGTCAGCATCTGTTGGGGTGAGAGGTCAGCATCTGTTGGGGTGAGAGGTCAGCATCTGTTGGGGTGAGAGGGAGGTCAGCATCTGTTGGGGTGAGAGGAGGTCATCTGTTGGGGTGAGAGGAGGTCAGCATCTGTTGGGGAGAGGAGGTCAGCATCTGTTGGGGTGAGAGGAGGTCAGCATCTGTTGGGGTGAGAGAGAGGTCAGCATCTGTTGGGGGTGAGGAGGTCAGCATCTGTTGGGGTGAGAGGAGGGTCAGCATCTGTTGGGGTGAGAGAGGTCAGCATCTGTTGGGGTGAGAGGAGGGTCAGCATCTGTTGGGGTGAGAGAGGTCAGCATCTGTTGGGGTGAGAGGGGAGGTCAGCATCTGTTGGGGAGAGGGGAGGGTCAGCATCTGTTGGGGTGAGGAGGGAGGTCAGCATCTGTTGGGGTGAGAGAGGTCAGCATCTGTTGGGGTGAGAGGGAGGTCAGCATCTGTTGGGGTGAGAGAGGTCAGCATCTGTTGGGTGAGAGGGGGAGGTCAGCATCTGTTGGAGCAGGAAGGTCAGCATCTGTTGGGGTGAGAGGAGGTCAGCATCTGTTGGGGTGAGAGAGGAGGGTCAGCATCTGTTGGGTGAGAGGGGAAGGTCAGCATCTGTTGGGGTGAGAGGGGAGGGTCAGCATCTGTTGGGGTGAGAGGGGGTCAGCATCTGTTGGGGTGAGAGGAGGTCAGCATCTGTTGGGGTGAGAGGAAGGTCAGCATCTGTTGGGGTGAGGTCAGCATCTGTTGGGGTGAGAGGGGGAGGTCAGCATCTGTTGGGGTGAGAGAGGTCAGCATCTGTTGGGTGTGAGGGGGAGGTCAGCATCTGTTGGGGTGGAGGGGAGGTCAGCATCTGTTGGGGTGAGAGGGAGGTCAGCATCTGTTGGGGTGAGAGGAGGGGTCAGCATCTGTTGGGGTGAGAGGGAGGTCAGCATCTGTTGGGGGTGAGAGGAGGTCAGCATCTGTTGGGGTGAGAGGGAGGTCAGCATCTGTTGGGGTGAGAGGGGAGGTCAGCATCTGTTGGGGTGAGAGGGAGGTCAGCATCTGTTGGGGTGAGAGGGAGGGTCATCTGTTGGGGTGAGAGGAGGGTCAGCATCTGTTGGGGTGAGAGGGAGGAAGACAGTTGGGAGAGAGAGAGAACATCGACAATTTCATTCTTAATCCTATCGATTCACTTTAAAATCTGCCAATCTATCTTAAAATCCTGTCAGTCTGATCTTAAAATCTGAATTCTCGTCTTAAATCTTACTCCTTGAATATCAAGGTGTGTGTTGTGTGTGTGTGTGTGTGTGTGTGTGTGTGTGTGTGTGTGTGTGTGTGTGTGTGTGTGCGTCAGAAATTCGTGGTTATACATACATAGAGAGAGGAATGATGGTGAATGCTGAATAAGGGAAGGATAGATAGATAGATAGATAGATGGATAGATAGATGAATAGATAGATAGATAGATGAATAGATGGATAGATAGATAGAGACAGATAGATAGATAGATAGATAGATAGATGAATGAAAGGAAAGGCAGAGTAGACAAACAGAGAAAACAACAAATGTAGCCAATTTCGCCTGGCGGTGCCTCTCTGCCGGGCTGGCGAAGGAGGGACATACAGCAGTGGGTTTATGGGATGCGAGTATCGCCCAGAATGTCGAGGTCACCAGTTCGACGCCCGCCCATGTCAGGCTGGCTGGAGTTTATCACCTCTTAGGGGTAGAGACGGTCGAGGGAGGACTTGGTGAAGGAGGCGTCAACGAGTGGTAGAGAGAGAGAGAGAGAGAGAGTGAGAGTGAGAGAAGAGAGAGAGTAGAGATGCAAAGAGAGGTGAGAGAGAGAGAGAGTGAGAGAGAAGAGAGAGAGGACGATGTAAACCATTGTTTCTTAAGTACGTGCCCGAATGATTGCTCTCTCTCTCTCTCTCTCTCTGTCTTTCTCTCTCTCTGTTGTTGTTTATCTGTATGTATGTCTTATTCTGTCTATTTCTCTATCCCTTTCTGTCTGTCTGTCTGTCTCTGTCTCTCTCTGTTTGTCTATGTCTGTCTGTCGTTTTTCTGTCTGTTTATCTCTGTATGTGTATCTGTGTCTTTTGTCTGTCTCCGTCTGTCTGTCTATCTGTCTCTCTGTCTCTGTCTGTGTCTTTTTTCTGTCTGTTTCTCTATCTCTGTCTTTCTCTCTGTCTCTCTGTCTGTGTCTTTTCTGTCTGTTTCTCTATCTCTGTCTTTCTGTCTCTGTCTCTGTCTGTGTCTTTTTCTGTCTGTTTCTCTATCTCTCTTTCTGTCTCTGTCTCTGTCTGTGTCTTTCTGTCTGTTTCTCTATCTCTGTCTTTCTGTCTCTGTCTCTGTCTGTGTCTTTTTCTGTCTGTTTCTCTATCTCTCTGTCTGTCTCTGTCTCTGTCTGTGTCTTTTTTCTGTCTGTTTCTCTCTGTCTGTCTGTCTCTGTCTTTCTGTCTCTGTCTCTGTCTGTGTCTTTTTTCTGTCTGTTTCTCTATCTCTGTCTGTCTGTCTCTGTCTCTGTCTGTCTGTCATCTCTGTCTGTCTGTCTGTCTGTCTGTCGTAGCTCAAATGCCAGGAGAGGAGGTGAGAGTTGGGAGTACACGAGTTTACAGGAGTTGCTGTTAGGCAGGTGAGTGACAGGTGTGAGTGATGAGTGTGGTGACAGGTGTGATGGAAGTGTGAGGTGAGTGATAGGTGTGAGTGACAGGTGTGAGTGACAGGTGTGGTGGTGACAGGTGTGAGGGTGGTGACAGGTGTAGTGACAGGTGTGAGAAGTGGGTGTGGTGACAGGTGTGGTGACAGGTGTGAGTGACAGAGTGGTGGCAGGTGGGGTGAGTGATGAGTACTGGGTTACAGGTGTGGTGACAGGTGTGAGGTGAGTGATAGGTATGAGATACAGGTGTGAGGAGAGTGATTGAGTGACAGGTGTGAGGTGACAAGTGTGAGGAGAGTGACAGGTGAAAGAGGGAGGTGACAGGTGAAAGTGGTGACAGGTGTGAGGGTGGTGACAGGTGAAAGTGGTGACAGGTGTGAGGTTGAGTGACAGGTGCAGGGTGAGTGACGGGTGTGGGGGTTAGGAGCCTCATTCTGGGGATCACCTGAGAGATGAGAGCTGTAAGACAGTTGCATACGAAGGATTAGTTGTGGAGAGAGAGAGATGAAATAATGTAACAAGCTGGAAAAGGTAACAGATTGAAAGACAAATTGAGAGAGAGAGAGAGAGAGAGATAAATAATGTAACAAGCTGAAAAGTAACAGATTGAAAGACAAATTGAGAAGAGAGAGATAAATAATGT